ATTTTGTGCTGAGCAGGTAGTGTCTTTTGTAGAAAAAATTATTCTCCAGCTTCTTAATTTTATTGGGGGTGAAGGTGGCTCTTTATGTATGCTGACAACTCTTCAAATAAAACTTCAAGCTTTATTAAATCTGTTTTAAGTTAAATTATGAAAATCTAGCAATCGTTAGAATATGCTAGAAGATGGTGATTGTTTGAATGCTCATGTTCTAAACTGACCTCTTTTTCTGTAGGTTTCCAGTGGTGGCAATGGGTGTATTGAAGTGGGTGGACTGGACAGTGTCAGAACCACGATACTTCCAGCTGCAGACTGATCATACCCCAGTTCATCTAGCATTACTGGATGAGGTAAAAGTGTACAGATAAAGCTGGTTGGGGAGCAAAAGCATTTTTTATCCTTGTAACTGGAATTACACCCAGTTCATGGAATGCCTGTCGTTTACACTAAATATACAAAGATGAATCTGTTTCTGTTTAGAGGTAATTGTTTGGTTTTGTCAGCTCAGCGTTATTTATATTGGGGAAATTTAGGCATTACAGAAAGAAGTGGTGGTATACTTTTCTAAAAGAATGTACATCTGGCAATAAACATCAATGTAAACTTGTCTAATAAGAGTAGCACATTGGTTTTTAAATTGAATTTCTGTTGATCTTATTTTATCTTGTTTGCAGATCAGTACGTGCCATCAGCTGCTTCATCCCCAAGTTCTACAACTTCTTGTCAAACTCTTTGAAACAGAACATTCACAGCTTGATGTAATGGAGCAGGTGATTATCAAAGGATTCGGTATTTGCATTCCTTTGTATTATGCTTTCTTAGGGTAACTGCTGTTATCACAGCAGTTCTAAGAGTTAGGAACGTGGTAGTGATTGTATCATAGCAGATATTGAGTCTATAAGAATAAACGATGAAAATTGTACGCTTTTGAGAGTATATTTCTAATGTACTGGTTTTCCTCCTTCACCCTGCTCTCTTTCCCTCCTTATCAGCTGGAACTGAAGAAGACCCTCTTGGATAGAATGGTGCACTTACTCAGTCGAGGATACGTCCTGCCTGTTGTCAGCTATATCCGCAAATGCCTGGAGAAGCTAGACACGGATATCTCTCTCATCAGATACTTTGTTACAGAGGTCAGCAGCAAAAAAAAAATGTGTTTACTAACATGTAGAAATAAACTTTAATATCAGCTGTATATGGCTGGATGGATACCGAGTCAGCTTGCCTCAAATTCAAAAATACTTGAAGTTAAGAGATGGGTTTCCGAGCAGTGTATGTAATATCAGTATTCACAAGGACAGGACCTAGTCATACTGAACTTTGACTTCTGGTAGTATTAAGGTAGAATCCCACAAGAATATATAATCAATTACTTGTATGGACAACAAAAGGTTGTGAATTAAGTAATATTTCTACCGTACACCTAAATGGAAGAATAATCCAATTTTGTCTACCATTTCAGGTACTGGATGTGATTGCTCCTCCATATACCTCAGACTTCGTACAGCTTTTTCTTCCAATCTTGGAGAATGAAAGTATTGCAGGTACTATTAAAACAGAAGGTGAACATGATCCTGTCACTGAGTTTATAGGTAAGTCATGCTTGTCCATTGCACATCTGCTTCCTTGTGTATTTGTTACAGTTTGTAAATAATGCTTAGCAACAGGATTGCTAAAAATAAGAATGCTTGCCAGATACTTTGACAGATTATTTCCCTTTTGTGGGCCTGTGTTTAGCAATTTTTCTTTAATCAAGAATCTCTGAGCAGTAATTGAGGAACTTGAAGACAAATACTGCTTTTGGAGAGCTGACACTGTAGTAAAGAAAAAAGGAAGGAAGTAGTTTTTCATAGTATACTCATTTCCTAGGGGGGTAATAAAACCTGCTCAGACCCTAAAATTCTATTTAATTATGTAATGCAGAATTCCACATGCAGACAGATAAATCACAGTAATGTACTGAACACTTATTTTTTTTTCTTTCTTTTAAGCTCACTGCAAATCTAACTTTATTATGGTGAACTAAGCAGTGGAAAAATCAAGAACGCAGAGCACATGATCACTACTTTGACATACCCTCCACCGTAAGGTTCTATAGGTGGGCAACACAGCAACAACAAAAAAAAACAAGAGAAAGAAAGGGCTGAAGGGCATTTGATTAACTTGCATGGTGACCTTGAGGTTTATATCAGAGGACTGTTAATGTAATTTGGAAAACAAAATAATACTGAAGGATTTTCTGTTACTGAACACATTGGTATAAATCTGAATATTCTGAAGTGGGTAGCAGCAGACACACAAACCTGTCTCAAAGAACGCTCTTTTCAGTTACTTGCAAAACTTGTCACTGATTCTTCATGTGTAATATATAAAACCTGAAGAATGGGGGAGGTAGTTCTTAATTAACACATCTTGCAGATAGTTCTCTGAAGACTAAAAATCTTGAATGCTATAGGCTTTGATCTTGTGAGTTGGGAAGTATAAAAAAAAAAAAATGGAAAAAGCATGATTACCTCTGTGCTGCAGGGTCCGTGATGCCTCTTTCTCACCTTTGTATTACAGTAAAGTTTTAAATATCCTATGTATGTACTGCTATGAGAAAACATGTTCTACATAATAGAGGTTGAGGTGTAACACTCAAAGTTAGTTTTGTATTAACAAATGGATCCAATGTGAGTGTGGTATCTTTCAGAATCTATTTTTTTGTTAAATAGATGCATCAAATGTTACTGGTAAGTTTCATTACCATGTCAGAATTTTCTTGCTGTCTAAAAAACGTGTGCGCAAAAGCTTCATTACAGTGATGTGGCTTTTTTTTTTTTTTTAAATACTTCTCTGTACTCTGTCTGGATGGATACTAAAGTTAGGGATACCCCCAAGATTACAATGTACCTTTAAATAAAGGTCTTTTCTTTTCCAGAGACCACTGTTTGTTTCTGTTCATCTGCCTGGATTTCTCTTTGTACATAGAAATACTATTTAAAAGGGATATAGCCAAGACTATCTGTGCTTTTCCAAGTACTTTCTAAAAGACAAAAGGTGACATTTTAAGTCACCTTGCTGTAAACTTAAGATCTAAAATGTTTTTGCTCTTTTCTGCTGTCACTGATTTATGAAGGGGAATTCTAGGCTACCATGACAATTTAAGACAGAAATCGATTGTATAGATTCTCCGTTCCTTTCTACAAGGACTGCATCTTTCCTTTCTTCAGCCAGTCTTTCACGTGACTTTTTTTTTTTTCCAAATGGACCTTCAAAGCTCCCTTTCTTTGCACACCTTTTAAATGTCTTGCTACTTAAACTTGCATGAGACCCTATCTTCATTCTACTGGAAGTAGTATTAGCACATGAGTTTGGTTTGTTGTAGACCCTGGATTCCGTTCTTAGTAGAATTAAGAACTGCAAAAACAACTTACCCTACAGCTCTTCCTTTTTTTTGTGTGTAGCCCCGCCTCATATACCATCTCAGTGATAATCAAGAGCAGTTGGTTCCTATCTCCATCACAAAGTTAACAGCTGTTCAGACAAAGCAGACTTCTGCTTTTCTCCTTGTTCAAGTTTTATATCATTTCCTTTATACATTTGAGTTCCTCTGTACTCATGGCTTATCATGATATTAAATTAGGTAAAACTTCCATGCTGCTGCTGTCAATGCTATTCTACTCCCCAATCCTTCTGCTGAGTAGGACTTAACTTACAGTAGGCATTGCAGCTTGGCAGAATTAATCTTATTGTCACTGGGGAGTCATTTCACTATGATAAAAGAAAGCCAAGGAAGTAGCTTTAACTAACCAATGCACAGCATGAGACTCCTGATTGCCTTTTGCCTAGAGTTAAGTCTATTCCAGTCTTTGGAACTGAAGAGGTGAATGGTAGGTGATCAACAGCTAATGATTAGCGAGTGATTGTATAGAGGAACCCAGAATTAGGGCCAAATCAACCATATCTAAAACATGTTCTCTTAGATATCTGATAATCAGAATAGCACAACAACCTTGACACTATCAGCTCTGTTGTTTCATTCTGCTAAGCATAACAGTCTCTAATTATAAGGCAGATAAAACCAAGGTAAGTTGGAGAAACTACCTAATAAAAGGCAGCAGTCTTTCCTGAACCTGTCTCTATCATCTCCCCCCCCACACACACTTCACTATACCATTAAAAAGCTTTAACATAGAGAGGGTAGAATTAATATAATTTCATTTAATTTGTTTTTAAAACATTATAGTTTGCTACATATCACATTGTTGAACAACTCTGTCACAACAATAAGTCCACTAAAAGCAGTACCATCCTGGGTAAGGGCTTGGGTAACTAGTTTGCCACATTAGAATGCTTGTTATGTACAATAATAAAACATGACTGGAGACATGTATTAATAAGCTCTTATGCTGTAAACACAATCATAAAAGAGAACATTGTCAGTTTATTAAATGTAATGAGCAGTGCCACTTAATATGGCACTGATTGCCACTTAGTAATTGACTCATTTTTAAGAAATAGAATTTGCTACCTTTCCTCAGTGAGCATGAGGAGAGCTCTGTCTTGTGGCAGGCTAGATTTTGCCTCACTAGGAGAAAAATAGTACAGCCAGTCATATATTAAAGCAAAAAAAAAAAAAAAAACAACCAGGAAAAAGTACTTATCTACTTAGTCTTTTTAACATCTTTTGATCAACATTCCTATTATAATTTTGGTTGGATAAAAGCAACAGCATCACACGAGACTTGCAGCAATATTTTTTCACCAGGAAGCCAAGGACACAACGGAGAGATTTAGTTTTTAAATTTTTGAATGTAAAATATCTGGTCTTAGCTTTGTTTTTATAGCTGCATAATTGTATAATATTTGCTCACTACTGTTAGTTTAGTGTAAGTACAGTGTGCATAGTTTTTAGTTATATCTGCATAAGTTGTATTTTAAAAATATATATTTATACACAAATTTACATATAGTTTCTGTAAGACACTGATTTAAATACTGTGCATCAAAGCAGACAACACTTTTTCATTGGTAAATTACTTTAATTTTTAAATTTTAAGTAGTTATCTGAAGGCAACTTGCATTTTATTTTTAATACTGTGTGTTGTGTTACCTGGACTAATTTTGTAAACTGCCTGAAAGTTGAACTGTGAAAGTTTTAGACTATTCTTTAAACAGAAAAATGTACAGTACAGAATCAAGGAAGTAAAACATCTCCATACGCACAGTCCTCTTCAATAGCAAGATTGTACTGTGCTCCTTTTCCACCTTTATATGCACTTGTCACAATTCTCAGCCATCCTCTTTCACCCTGTAGAGAATTAATTTGCATTAGTATAAGTAGAGACATTGTGATTTAGAAAACATAAGCTAACTATGCTATTGAATCTTTTTTGTTTTCCAAATAGGAATGGTTTAAAAGTGAAGCTAGGAATTCACTCAAGAAGTATAACGCTATATTTATAGAACAGCCTTTTTTGAAGGGGCAATCTGCTTCTGTTCTATGTATATGATTTGTTTTTTGCCTACAACTCACAGATTTATGGTGGCCCATAACAGGAGGTACATATCCATGAAAAGGCAGCATTTAGGATTGAGTTGACATTACCTAAGAAACTTTAACCAAGTATCCATCTTCAGCTTAGTTAAATTTTTTTTAATTGAAAGTCTAATTCAAAGAAAGCCTTACTTTCTACCTGCAAGCTGCCATTGCAGCATCCTCTTAGCAAGTGGGTAAAACTCCACTTTTCCTCTAAAGCAGTGCTGCAAACATATTTTTGTTTCCTTACCCAGGGTTCACCCCATGAATTGCGAACAATCCAGTATTCTGTTCCATTTTCTACACCCCAGCCGGCCACAGATACAATATGATTCACGGTAGGTGAAGGGTTGTACTCTGTATAGAGTCCTCCAGTATAAGCATCCAGCTTTTCAGTAGCCATTATACCACAGCTGTAATAAAACAGAGCAAGCATTTTTATGCACAGGAATCAGGGTGGGAGCCTGGCTAAAAATCTGTTTTCTTGCATTTTGACTTCTGAGCTCAGTCTTCTACAAACAAGCTGAAGTCTGCATATTAGTGCAGGGCTCCTACTATGTGCTCAATTGGAGAAGTACACTTCAGTCACTAAACTGAATTCCAAGCATTTCAATCCAATTACTAGTTAATTACTTTTTTTTTTTTTTACCTAATTGGTCCATTCTTATAGATTTCTGCCATCATTTTTTCCCTTCCACTGACAGAACCATAGTCAGCAACTTTCCAGAGAGTGTAGTTCTTTATCACATGGCATTCTCCAAAAGTGACACAAGTTCCACACTGGTTGAACTTCTTGCATTCTATGGAGAGAAAGATTATCACCACAAGATAATGCTTTTCTTCCTGTGAATTAATAACACGCTGATTTTTTTTTATTTTAACTTAATTTGAGGTAGATACTAAAAAGAATGATTACTTATCTCCAGTGAACTAATTGTCTTTCTGGAAATTACACTTAAAGTATCTATAATCGCTAGTTGTTATTCTTTACTTCATTGGCACAACTGCTTAGAGAATGTTACTCAGTTGTGCTTCTCTATAAATACAGACACTATTACAGTAATACTGGAAACAAAAGTTTCATTTCTGCTTTGTTTAGGTTGACTCTTGCAAGTATTTAACTACACTAGAGATTGTATATCACTGACTTAAAAGATCGAGTTTAAACACTTTAGCTGGTGAAATCATGTCCAGACAAGTTTGTGTGTTATGCTGTCTAGACAGAGACCTGTAAGGAAACTGTCAGTCAAACAGCTGGTACTACACTGAAAAGCAGGAATCAGTAAACTGAAAAAAAAACAACACAGAAAATGATAATTTCTCTATATTAAAATCTGACAAATCTGGGCTGAAGCCCTACAGCAAAAAAAAAAAAAAAAAAAAAGGCATTGTACTTTGATTCTTAGCTTGGTAGTTGTTACAGGTCTCATCTGGAATGCCGTGGTCGTGGGCATACATCCAAACACCCGTGTGGTCTCCACCTTCACAGGACCCCGCATTAGCGCAATCAATCACATTCTGTACAGAGAGGTAGGCAGAAGGCCATGCACCTTTTCTCTTTATGTTGATTCGATCTGCAAGTATAAGCAATCAGTAAATATTAGTGGAATGTGTGTGCTGTTACATTACTGGTATTGAAACACCTTCGCCTTCATTGAACCTGTAACTATTTGCAGACAACCGTATTTGTGGTTGGAAAAGCCCCAGCTATAGGTCATGCTATGTGTCTCAATACTTAGCTTAAATAGGCAGGCTGAGTTTCTGTGGGTTTTCATTGCAAGGTTTTTCCATTAAAAGCTCATCAAAAAGATGCAGATGAGTAAGATCCATTTCAACCCTCTAAGTACTTTAGAGCTCTTAATTCAGTGTCTGAAAACTAGATCTATTTCCTGGCCTTTAAACACACACCATGAAACCAGCGCGCTCTCTCTCTACAGAAGAGAAGAGTTACATATAAACTCATGCAGACAATCGTAAGCTCAGGCAGCCCAGGTCTCTGGGAGACAGCTGTCACAAGCTTAAAGCAAGGAAGAGCTTTTAGAAGTACAGCCACACTGAGTAAACATCTCACCATTATTCTGCTATCTCAGACAGACATCACCATCCTGCTGCCTTACTTTGCCTGAAACAGCTAGCTTATTTGGCTTCCTAATCAATATTTATAAACTGCTTCTCACAAGGTATTAACTGGCTTAAGTCATGCAGCTGTAGTACTTTTAATCCTATTAGTACTAGTGACATTCAACTCTACTTTGACAAAGAACTGGAGGAGTGCTCCGTATGAATTAGCAAGGCGTTATCCCAGCCTAGTCTTTCAGCAAGAGCAGAAGGAATGAATGCTTTAGGCACTCAACACACATACATGCACAGCTACATACACAATAAAGTTTTACCAAAAGTTAGATAAAATTTAGCAGCTTCTTAGCTATATATCTTAGTAATGCACACACATTTATGTTGTTGTATTGCTTAAGAACAGAGACTTTACAGTTGCTTCTGTCTCCTCCCACACCTGCACTGTCTCCCTATTTCTGTAGTATTTCCTCCATTTCTCCTTCACAGCTGATCCTCTTAAAACATCCTATGCAAACAACTTCTCCTGTATGTTACTAAGCCAAAGCAGTTACATACAAGTCATAATATATTCTCTCTAGAGAGAGCGTTTCACCAATTAACATAAACCTCTACTTCCGTTTTCCCAAGAAAAGGGCAGACATACCCATCTGCTGAAACCAGCTGTGTCTGTATGCTGCGGTAGACATTCATTTAAATAACAGGGCTCTTTAAGGTAATACTGTGTAGGCCCTTCCCACCAAAGGCAATTCCTTTCACTTCCTCATAGCTAGGCACTGCTGGAGCAGCCCGCAGCCCCTTGCTGCTTTGGAGGGTGCAGCAGCCCCAGGTACAGAGAGAGGGAAGGGGACACGCTTACTGCTTCTACCATCACCACCCCTCCAAGGTGAGGGACAGTACACCCAGTTCCTTCTCCAGGCCCTAAACAGTTCAGCAGGAGCTATAAATGTAATCCCTCTGCAAACAGCTTTTTAACCATCCCAGTGTTCCCCTTCCCCCCCCCACATAGCTTTGAGCAGGCAGGGACAGCCTTTCTCTGGCTGCTTTCTCTACTGAAACCAAAACTGCCTTCAGCTACCAGCTTGGCTTTTATTCTTTTCCTAGGGTATTCACAGATGTCTAAGCCTGGTTTTGCTACATTAGTCACTGCAGCAACTCGGCACTTTTTTTCTTCACATCAGCTATTTTGTAACCTTAAGATAAACTTCCTTTGCTTAGCAAGAACCACTGAAGTCACTGAGGGCAACACCTTGGCTGGCAGAGCCAGCATACAGCCCATCACATACCTGCTAAGGCGCTGGTGCTCCCGTGGGCCCAGCAGGACCCGCAGTACTGCGGGATGTGCTGGTTCCGAGTGGTGCTGGCGTAGTTGATGCCGTTGACATTTCTCCAGTCCCAGCTTTCTGGGAGCGCAGAGACATCCAGGTATTCGTGAGGCCGGGGGTAGGTTCTGCACAGAGACAGAAAGGAATTTCCCTCGTTACCGAACCGTATGTTTTCCGGCGAATGAAGGGAAGGTAAAAAATAATTAAAAAAAAAAAAAGGGGGGGGGGGGGGAAGGGTTTATAAGGGAAAAAAAAAAAAAAAAAAAAACAAAAAAAAACAAGGACTCCCAGCCTTTCGCAATCTGACGCCGGTCATGTGCCTGCAGACAACGTGACCGGGCTCTCCCAGCCGTGAGGTGCCCGGAGGGCTGTGAGAGGGTCGGGGCAGCCCCGGAGCCCCTACAGAGCCCTCCAGAGCCTCCCCTTGCCCCTCTCTGTCCCTGAGGCTGATCCCCGGGCTCCCCCTCAGCACCGCCGAGCCCCGGGGCTGGCACCCATGGGGCGGGCGGGCAGCCCCCGGCCGGCTCGGAGCAGCTCACCTCAGCCCCACGGCCCTGCGCGGGGCCGGCCGGTAGCAGCTCTGCCCCTCCCTGAAGTAGAGGCCGGCCCGGCAGAGGCCAAAACAGCCCACGAGCAGCAGCAGGAGGGAAGCGAGGAGCCGGGCCGGGCCCTCCATGCTGGGCGGCAGAGCCTTCCTCAGGAACCCAGCCCCGGCGCTGATTTAAGGGCGGCGGGAGGGGCCTTGCCGTGGGCGGGCCCGGCCGGCTGCCCCCGGGGAGCCGCTGAGGGGAGCCCCTGGCGCTGGGCTCGGTGGTGGAGAGGCGTGGAAGGCTGGCGAAGGGCGTTTAATTAATTTCCGAGGGGTGTAATTAATTTCTGAGGGGAGAAGGAGCGAGTGTAATGAGGGAGATCAACTGGCCGGGCCCGCTCTGCTCCCTGCCTCTGGATCAGGGCAGCCTCAGCCCACTCGGCTGGTGCGCTGTGCTGGAGGGTCTCCATCTCACACGCTTAAAACCGAGTCATTTTGGTTTAAAACAAGCACATACACACACAGAAAAAGCTGTTAAAATAGCGCGATGAGTCAATAAGTACAGTGGCTATCAATGCGCGGTTTGTGACAGGAGAACCTGTGCCTGCGACGTGCAGACCCTGTGTGAATGGGATCCAGGTTTCTTTGCCTTCAGCCTGATACACCAGTGTCACGTATGGCTGTAACCAGCAACTGTGTGATTACATGCAGCAGGCAGGTTTGTTTTTTTTTTTAGTTTTATAGTCTCAATTTTTGAATTTTTAAACCCTCTTATACTAGAGTTTAAAGAGGAATACAGGCCCTTGCACAGGCATATTTGTTGCTAATGTGTACTGTGTTGGTACAAGGAAGCAAACAAAACAAAACAGAAACAAAAACCCCAGCCCAGCAACCAAAAAACATGGCTTGTTTGTGGTCTTACACCCGTCACCATGGCTTTAATATCTCAGGCCCACTCCGAGGGCAGTGGAAGCAGTGGGCAGGCTGATAACAGACGCTGCAGGGCAGGCGGGTGGGAGTCTGCCCAGTGCCAGGCTGCCCCTAATCGCCTCTGTGCCGAAAGGTGCCCGAAGCCAACCCTTCTGCCACATCCTCCTCTTTCTCTTGAGACACACACTGCTAATCTACAGCGGCACATGTGCACTGGCCGTGCCTGGGAAGTGTTCTTGTGCAGTTAGCAGGCTTGGGGTTTCCTTCACCGGCTGGTTTTCTTTGTCTTGAGATGAAGGATGACAGACCTGCAAACAAACAAAATCTACACAGAAACATGCTTTCCATATGCCAAGTTTGGTATAAAGAAAGACTTGGGGGTTCACAGCAATGTGTTTAGGTGAAGGCAGGGAAAAAGAGGAACAAACCACCTTCACGAAGCAGTCAGGGACTTTGTTTCGTGCCATAATTTTAAGGACTGTATTAGGAGATGCTTCAGAGAAGGCACATGATTCCAGGGAGCTATTTTTAGCAAGAGAAAAAAACAATGTTTAGTGATTGCATATTTTTTCACTTCCTTTTTTTTTTTTTTTAATTTCCCCTTTTCTTGTGAAATGCTCTCAATATTGTTATTGCTGAAATTATTTTGCCAAATATTTTGGACAACAAATTATCAAATCTTCAGCTTCTTCATAAATTGTGGCTATTGCAAATTAATACATTGGATATTTTAAGTGGCTTTTTTTTTTTTTCCCCCCACTATCATTAGCTTTCCGACACGTTGTGTCACTGCAGCTCCCATTCAGAATGCAGCAGTTGAGTACACAATTTGGAATTGTACAGGACAGCATGAGACTGCACCAGGGTGGTTCAGACTGGGTGTTAGGAAAAGGTTCTGCCCTGTGAGGGTGCTCAGGCACTGGAACAGGGTCCCCAGGGTCACAGCACCGAGCCTGTTGGTATTCAAGAAGTGTTTGGACAAAGTTCTTAGACACATGGTTAGGTTTTTGGATGGCCCTGTGTGGAGCCAGGAGTTGGAGTCAATGATCCATATAGGTCCTTTCCAACTCGGGATACTCAGTGATTCTAGGAAAACAAACAAAAAATGTGTGTGAATAAAAAGTACGTGCTTTCCAAAGCAAATCTCCAAATAATCTTTTCAGAATTTTGCGTTAGAAAATATTTACAATGCAGCAATTTTGAACATAACTGTGGTGTTGTCTTGCAATGGAAACTAAATTGTTTATTTTCTGGAAAATGATAAAACTATTGTGTTCTAAAGAAACAAAATTAATATGCCTGAATTGTAAATCTTGCTATTAATGCTCCCTGTTGAGGACAGTTAACAGCTTTACAGAGGGTGACAATGTTTGCCAGCCACTTTTTGCAAAGTGGCTGTGGTAGTAAACTTTGTCTTAGGAACAGTTCCTTCATTGGCTGGTGGAAAAAGTGGAAGTCATCTGTTGTGGGGAAGTCTGGAATAAGCTGATTTTTGTTTCGTAACAATATGGAAGCTCATAGATTCCTTATCTCTAGTAACCCATAACAGGGTAAAAGTAGTAGCTACTTTTAATGAGTCAAGTCCTTCCAGTGTCTTCTTTTTTATGCAAAATAACTAAAGGTGCTTTCCTAATTCTAATTTCTCCCCCTATCCTTAAAAAGAAAACCTGCAAAGTACTGGCAGTCATCTGACATAATAAAACTCCTACAAGCTTCCAGAAGGCCGTCCATTCTGGGTTTCTGTTGCGCAGTGATATTGGCCCTGTTTATCAGCAAGCCACACGACTGTGCCATGTTTTGCTCAGGCTTGCATTATTTCCTTTAATGCAGTGACACATTTCACACAGTGGACATTATAGTTAACTGCACTGGAAGTGGGATTTCACCTCTAGTGTTTTCCTGGAAAATTCTGAGATACTTCATCTCAGATACAAGAAAATGAAAAATATGACATTATTTTACAGTACAGAAATATTGTACTGTATGACATCATATACTTACATCTTACAAAGTATTTTTTGTTACTGATCCTGTCCCCCTCCTTCATGAAAATGATGCTTATTAGTGAACTGCAAGTTTGCCTGGCAGTGCGCTCAATATTGTCATTCTAGGAGGTTAATGCTCAGAAGTTGTTACTGTTTTGATTATGGATGTTGTCCTGTTTGACTCTTATGATGTGTAAAATTTAAATTATGTGACAGTACAGATGGTTATAATTGCTCACTTTTGGCTCTACTATTTCTATGTACAGATAAATACATAAAATAACGAACATATATATGTATGCTCTGCACAAAATAATGAAACACAAATACAACATGCAGAGTTTTGAATCACACTGCTGCACAAAGAACTATAATTAATTCTAAGTGTGCATGTACATGTGAGGCACAATTTGCTCTTTCAAGCCACTCTCAGCAATGTACCTGTGCTCTTACACCTTAGCCATGGGCAGTGAATATGTACTTTGCCTTTTTGTGACAAATTTGATGTGCCACTTGCGGAGAGCTGGCTACTCCCTTTGCTGGGTGAGTGACAATCTCACCAGTATAAAAAGGCCCCTTGGGGCGGACTGTGCTGGGTGTAGCTGATAGAGCAGCAGAAAGAGGGCTTGCTCTAGGGACTGCAGCTAGAAATCCTGTGCTGTAGCTACCAACTGGTCTAAGCTACACAAAATGCGTGAAATCGTGCATCTTCAGATTGGCCAGTGTGGAAACCAAATTGGAGCAAAGGTAAGGTCTCCTTTCAGTTTTGGTCCTTAGGAGTAAGTGCTGTCATCAGTACCAGGTCAAACATCATTACCAGATGGGGACTTAGAGGGAGGGACAATTACTTTGTTGTCTCGATGATAGGATGCATGGCATGCCAGCTATGCTTATGATTGTTTTGATGTGAAAGTTGTAAGCTGGGCATGCTCCTCATGCAAAGGCTGATCTTAAGACTGTCAAAGACTGTTTCTCATTCCACAAAAACTGTAAAACTAATAATAACATGAGAATGGTCTTATATCTGCAATAACTACAGCACAGCAATTCTAAGTGCTCCAGAGCATTCCTGCTGGGACTCATGTTCCTGGGACATTAATCCAGTCTGCAAAATACCAGGACAAGTGAAGGAGCCAGCAATGTCATGACTGCAAGTTTGTTATGCCAGTGCTTTAGTTCTGACATACAGCACTAACTCTGCCACATAATAATCATTAATATGGGATTGTGTTAGTCAACTGAAATACCTGTGCTGTCAGTGAAAAATCAGGCTTTTCTAAGTTAAGTTAAGGATTCCTGCCTAACTGGCCTCCTGCAAGAGACAGCCATGATATCATTTGGACTACATTTGTGTAGTTTAAACAGTGGTATGCTATTACTTAGAGACGTCAGTCATTGCTGACTTTGTGTATCAGGATAAAAAAATAAAAATATATTCTTTTTGCTGTACAATACCCATAACACCCTTTTTATTTACTTAGTAGGAAGGTGCCAAAAAAAAAAAAAAAAAAAAAAAAGTAAAAAAAAGAAAGTAAGAAAGTGTTTGGGTCAATTTGGGGCTGGGGGTGTCTTTGAAGACACATGCTAGCTGAAGGAGTGTTCCATTCTGTTCTTCCTCCATTTCTTGCTACCGCAAACATCACTTTGGTTTCTTCTATTGGCACATGAAGCTGTGGATGGCCAGGAAATGTAATGTTAGACCCAGATAGTTTGGATGCAGCCAGTGTGAACACTGAAAGGTTTATAATTTTGCTGTTGTATCTGTCCTGGAAACCACTTAAGTCTAATAGGACCGGTCTAAAAGCACACATCCAGATAAATATACCATGCACGTGTTGGCAGTGTTGTAGAGTTGAAATGGTTGCTAACCCGAAAGACCTTTAAAATTAAAATAGCTTGCTCATTATATTGGCTGGGTGTGTCTGCATTAACAGTGCTGTGGCAGCTGCCTTGATAAGAGTCCTGGTACAAGACAGCCATATGAATGTCAAGATAGGACATTCAGGCCCAGTATCTGCTTGCAGAAAGCATTGCTCCCGTGCAGACTTGACTGTGCTGGTGTTGCCATGCCACAGCCCCACTTGTGCATGACATGCCTCAAAGCACACAGCTCCCCCAGCCCAACACAGGCTTTTGTTATATTCATACCAAACAGTACCCGTGTAATTTAAAGTAATATTAATTCTGCGCTATTTAAACAAGTATCAATTTGCTTTTTCTAGAGAGGCAATATTTCCTTTTCTAGTGCACAGGCAATATTTAACCAGCATAACTGGTCTCCTAAACTCTCCCCTTGAACTTATTGGGAGGGAGAGGAGAAGAAGCCCCCCACTCTGATGGGCTCCATTGCATTTCATTCAGCTGGTTGTACTGAAATTACTCTCCCACCCTCTGCAGTCTAGCCCATACATGGCAAATCATCCCTCACTTCAGCTGCAGTTCCTGCTTTGTGTGGAGTCACAGGCACAAGGCGTGAGAGCTGCTGCTGGACACATTGTGCTAGGAAAAAAAAATCATGATGACTGTATTGAATCTCTTTCCTTTTTCAGTTCTGGGAGGTGATAAGTGATGAACATGGAATTGATATCGCTGGAAACTATCGTGGGGATGCATCACTGCAGCTTGAACGAATTAACGTGTACTTCAACGAGGCTTACTGTAAGTGCACAGTGCTGTTAGGATGTCAGCAATTTACAGGGACAAAATGAAGGTTAAAATAAGTAACAGAATTTAAAAAACAAAAACATAAAAAAACCATCACCACCCCAAACCTGTAGGTGGGTTGGATTTTTTAGAGTAGGTTATAAGCCTGTCTGTTTTCTAACAGTAACTGGTCATTTTCTTTTGTTCCAGCCCATAAATACGTACCCCGTTCTATCTTGGTGGACCTGGAACCTGGTACAATGGACAGCGTACGCTCCAGCAAAATAGGCCCACTATTTCGACCTGACAATTTTATTCATGGTATGTACAGCAAAGTAACTGGGGCCAACTGTCTCAGACCAGCCTTTTAACCCCAGTCTTGTAGCATTTAAAATTTGCTCTTGTTCATTTTGTGGTTGTTCTGTCTGTAATTCTGTTTACAGGTAATTCAGGCGCTGGAAACAACTGGGCTAAGGGCCATTACACAGAAGGAGCTGAACTGATTGAAAATGTCATGGATGTGGTCAGGAATGAGTGTGAGAGCTGTGACTGCCTGCAGGGATTCCAGCTCATCCATTCACTTGGTGGTGGTACAGGCTCGGGCATGGGCACACTCCTCATCAACAAAATCAGAGAAGAATATCCGGACAGGATTATGAACACCTTCAGTGTTGTGCCGTCCCCCAAAGTATCCGACACAGTCGTAGAGCCGTATAATGCCATCCTCTCCATCCACCAGCTAATAGAGAATACAGATGAAACCTTTTGCATTGACAACGAAGCGCTGTACGATATCTGTTTCAGAACCTTAAAGCTCACCAATCCCACCTACGGTGACCTCAATCACTTAGTGTCCCTGACAATGAGTGGAGTCACAACCTCGCTCCGTTTTCCTGGCCAGCTGAACGCAGACCTGCGGAAGCTGGCTGTTAACATGGTGCCCTTTCCTCGCCTGCATTTCTTTATGCCAGGCTTTGCTCCGCTGACGGCTCGAGGTAGCCAACAGTACAGAGCCCTCTCGGTGCCAGAGCTTACTCAACAAATGTTTGATGCGCGCAACATGATGGCAGCCTGTGACCCCCGTCGTGGGCGTTACTTGACTGTGGCTTGCATCTTCAGAGGCCGCATGTCTACCAGAGAAGTGGACGAACAGCTGTTGGCTGTCCAGACCAAGAACAGCTCCTACTTTGTGGAGTGGATCCCTAACAATGTCAAAGTGGCTGTGTGTGACATACCGCCGCGGGGACTGAAGATGGCAGCTACCTTCATTGGCAATAACACGGCCATCCAAGAGCTCTTCATCAGAGTTTCTGAACAGTTCTCAGCTATGTTCAGAAGAAAAGCATTTCTCCACTGGTACACTGGTGAAGGCATGGATGAGATGGAGTTTTCTGAAGCAGAGGGAAACACCAACGACCTTGTTTCCGAGTACCAGCAGTACCAAGATGCCACTGCAGATGTTGAGGAATATGAAGAGGTAGAAGTGGAAGCTAGTCCAGAAAAGGAAACATAAGAACAATGACACAAAAACATTCTCCAAACAAGCCAGTTGTCATTCACTAAAGAAAAAGCAGTAGCCATCAACTGTATACCACATTTTTTCCTCTGTATTTGGCCGAAGTATATCCAGCATTACAATATGAGGCAAGAGCAGCTATGCTTTACTTTCCAAATCAACTGTTGACACTGAATCTCCCCCCAAAAGATCTGCTATGAAGGCAAGTGCCCTCATAACAGCCTTTCTTGTAAATGGATTCACTTTTTAGTATTATTGCTTGACACAATGTAATATAGTCTGTGTATGTACGTGCACGTGTATCAGGATCATAAGCAACAGCAAAACATGCTGTCAACTCATCACATTTATTTATTTTCAGGTAACCACAGTCCATGTCTTGTTCATGAACTTGCTACTGTTTTAGGAACTTGTACACATCTGTAAGACCTATAAAGGCAGTATGTTTTATTATGCACTCTGCAGACAGATCTTAATTAGAGCCACTCACGTTCAAGTTGCAGGGTGAAGGGAGAAAAACAGAGGACAAGACTAAATATGGACATTTTTTTTTCCTTTTTTTTTTTAATAGTTTTATAACATTGCTGGTCTATATTATTATATTATTGCAGAGCTTGTACTTGTTGTGTGATTTGTTTCCCTTTTCAAACTATAGCTTGAGTTATACTAGCATACAAAATTGTGAACACTGTATTTTGGTGTACTATTCTCCCACACCCCTCAATTATTGTAAATTTTCTTCCTATCACTGAGTACAGCAAAACACATGGAATGGTTTGCAGCTAGAGTTCAACAGCAATCATTAAGTAGGAATACCTTGACAAAAAGTCCTCATGCCCTTCATAGCCACTGTATGTATAATATCCTTTAAAATAAAGACATATACCAATACTACAAAATAATACTTGAAAGATTTGATAAGCAATTTATTTTTATAAAGATTAAAATATATTTACAAGTTTTTACACAAAAAAACACTTTTTTATATTCTTGGAAGGGAAAGTTTATTATACTCTGCAGAAAGCAATTCCTCGCGTTTTACTTTGGGTCAGCATCTTGGATTCATGTTCACCTATGCCCATTCTGTAAGTATATTGTCTTCCTTCCTATGCAGTGGGACATTATGCACGCAAATCCCCAGAGAAGCATTCCACTTGCAGTTTTGTCTTCAACTTAGACCTCATGATTTTCACTGAATTAGTTTGTTCTGAGCACACTGGGAAGATGAACACCCCAGTGGGAGAACTTTAGAAACAACAGCATGCCACTTCCAGCAATGGGAGAGAACTGGCAGGTGTATTTTTGATTACAGGTTTGAAATTACGCGCTTATGTTCTCTGCTGACATACATTCTAAGCGATTAATTCCACAAAATATTCATTAATCATGAAATGGAATAAGCAGAAAAGCTTTAAATGGCTACATCTCTGTCATTGATATACCTGAGATACCAGTGTGAAAACCAAGAGATTTGATTTAAACACCTGTTGCTGCTGAATGGTAGTTTGATGAAAACCCTCTTTTAACTCAATATGTCTCTGCAAAAGGGAGTACTTTGTTTCAAGAGGAACAACAGTTGCCACACATTCATTTGTTTAACCACAAGTGATATTTATTAGTGTGCTGATTTACACACAGGCAAGTTTTACAGTTAACATGATGACATTGTATTGCAGTCTTCAGCTTGCCTACAGCTTGCAGTTTGCTGTTACAGTATTCGCCACAGATCAGTTCCTAGGAGAGATTTAAAATAAAAGTTACTTGATTCAAGAATAAGAAAACACGTACAAGGTAGATTTCACACAAGGTAATAATAGTTAATCTCAGAACTAGAAGCTGTCCTACATTCATGGTATCACCACCTACTTTCTCAGGATGTCAAATACACTAACTCCTGATTACGCTTCAAACAATTTCTTATGCAAAACAAAAGTCTCCACGTGGTTTTTGCCAAACATATTTACTGCAGGTCTTGGTTCAGAGGTTTATTTTAAAGACAGTCTTGTTTTCATTTACCAAGTATCCTGATCAAGCATTATACAGACATTTCAACCATTTCCACAACGTTATTGTCTCTACAAATGTGGTTACGATAATGTTAAGGTACACAGATCACCTTTACTGGGTCAGGTTGTTATCTTATGCACATAACAGTCCCTAGTGACAACGCAATCATTCCTAATGACGTTATCTACTGCTGCTTGAGGCAGAGTCCAGAAGAGATTTCATCTGCTCGTAATGTGTGCAACATCACAAATGCAGGTACAAGCAGCACCCACCTCTCACAGCCACCAGCTGACCCTTACATAGATTAGGGTTTACCCAAGGTTATTATCTACTCAGCATAAGGAGCAGAAGAAGTGGTCACCTGTGAGACTGTCTCTGGCTTGGCAAAGCAAGGGCGTTCAGAGCTCTCAGCTCTCACAAGGACACAGCTGCTTTACCGCAGCGTGTAACAGCTTTGGACCTAAATCATTCAAACCAGAGCCTGACGGAGCTGCCTCAGCTCGCTGCGCTGGGGGACGGGGAACTCCCCCCTACCCCCCCGGAGATGAGGACGCGAGCACCACAGGCACCACGGGGACCCTCAGCCGCCGCCCGCTCCGCACCCGAGGGCCGGGCTGACCTCCCGCTGCCGTGTCCGGCGCCCACCTCACTCCTTCTTGGGCTTCACGGTCTTCACGGTGGCCATGGCCGCCCTCTCCGCCTCGGCCTTGTACTGCGGCTTCATGGCCGCCCGCACGGCCTGGGCGCAGATCTGCGAGTAGCGGATGTAGCTGGCGAGAGGGAGAGAGGCGAGGTGAGAGCCCAGCGGGCACGGGGGGGCCCCGAAGGGTTCCCGGGAGGGTTCCCCGAAGGGTCCCCGAGGTCCCCCCCCGCGCCGCGCCGCTACCTGAGGCCGGCCTGCCGCCAGTACGCCACCATGGCTGCCCCCGCCGCTCCGCCACCAGCAAGGTCAGCGCCCGCCGGAAGGGGAAAGACCGCCCTGCCAGCCTGCGGCCAATCAGCGGGCGAGAATTATCTGCTGCCCAATCAGCCTCCGAGTTGCCTCAGGGAAGGTGACCAATGGGAAATGAGCGGTCGATCTAGCCGCCGTCGCTCGCCGCTGGCGGCGGCCAATGAGAGGGCTGCATGCGGCACGCGCCTCCCGCCCTTTCTCCTCGAGGGGTCTCGCGGGGGCTCAGGCGGGGTGTGAGGGGCGGGGGGAGGGGAGGGCATTGCCCTCGTCAGTGCCTCAGATCGAGTGCAGGGATCGGAATGGTTTATAAACACGCACAGACAATGATTGTTATAGTTATCTATAAATTCTCGAGTTAGGGCGTTAAGCCATGTGTGGCCAAGCTCTGCCAGGTTCACTTTTATCCCCTAGAACACCGGATCCCCATGGCATGGGGTTCTTGTGTAAGGCATTGCATACACCTGACATTTAAATAGATTTAAACCTTTAAATAGATTCATAAGAAACAGCGTAGCTTCTAGTTCACTACCATCCATTTGTCACTACTTGCTGGAAAACAAAAACAGACAAATTCCATATATAATAAGAAAAAAGTTGTAAGAAGACTCAAGCTGCATAAGGAATCAACATGGTTCTAATCAAATACTGATTTAAATAATTACTTCTTAAGGTTTTAAGGAAAATTTTGAATTATTATTATTATTTTTAAATCCTTGCAGTTAAGCACACATACCTCTTCTCTGTTCTCTCCATCCCGAACCAAACCACATCACAAAGTATTTCGGAATCCTCTGGAAAACACAGAGGTCCTGAGAAGACCTTGGTTGTTTGTTCCTCTTCGCACAGAGGCCTCGTGTCTTCCTGACAGCTTTGGTATCTGCTGAAGTGCAGATACCTGGAAATCACTGCGAGATTTCACAACGCTACATGGTGATGATTTTTAAAGCACAGAGTAATTTTCAGCTTTATTGGAGAGCTTACTTAGTCCAGAGCCATTGTAATTAACAAGCTATACACCCTAATAGTGACAGTATAGAGCCACCAGAACAAAGAGAACAATTAGCCACCAGATTAGCCACAGTGTCTCCAGGATATTATAAGCCAGTAAGAGAAGATTGCCCTATGTAATTAGTAGGCACAGCAACCAGGAGGAAATAGTAGGAAGGCAGAAAAAATTTCCTCTCCTTACTTTGCCTATTTGATCTCTCTACTGAGATCACTGAAGATGACTCTACAGTGCCAGTTGTGATGACATTTTGAAGGTGGGCATTTTATTACACCAGTTCCTTCCATCTGGACCAACAGACAAACAATTTGTGACTTTTATAATTGCTAAACAACTTTGCCTCCACTGAATTTGGACTTGATTTCTATAACCCATGTATTGCAGTCTTTACTAATTAATTTTAAAGAAAGAACTAGTATAAATGAGGCAGAAAATATTTCATATTGCATACATTTATTTCCATATTTATTTTTTGTTTAAGACATTTATGTCCTAATTCTGAGACATGGGTGACATTGGAGCAAAGCTTTCCAACTTGTAAAAATTAAATCCATTAAAAAGTATTTGTTACGGCAGGCAGCACTTTTAACACACAAAGGGTGCGAGTGATACATTGGAAAAACAAAGAAACCATATTTGTTTTCAAAAAAGCTAGCTACAGGAGGAAGATACAAGGAAGCACCAAAGATTTTTTAAAGCCCATCTCTGTTATCTGTGCAACATACTTGATGCACCACAAGTAACTACATTACTTTTATGTATATATAAAGAGATCTTATATTCAAATGCTGTTTTAGTGTTAATATCTGATGATTTCTTAGGTAAAATAGTTATAAATAAGTTTAATTATATTAATCATAAATAAGATAATCATGGGCTACCCAGGCCACAAATATGGACACCTTTGTTCCAGCTACACGTTCTTCTACTGCCCCTCCACCTTCGCAGGTTTCTCTCCTCACCCCTCTCTTATCTGCTCCTCTTTTTAATCCGTTTTCTTTTTCTACTACATCTTCCCTCTCCATACCAACATGTGATGCCTCTGCAATTCTGTGCACTGCACTCAGATTTAAATCCGTAATAGAGATACACACAACCTGGGTGCACCTATTCCCACATTTAGCTGTATTTGCTATTTGTTGATCTTGAAAGATAAAAAGTTATTAAAAGAATTAAAAGTTAAATTTCTGGGAGAGGTGCCATCCCGAGACAGAGTGAAAATTACATTAGTGATAGAAATCTTGCTCTACAAAAATTCCAGAGTATATATTAATATTTATACATCTGTAAACAAGGCACCATTACAGAATTATACAAACTGTTTTCACGCTTGCTCAAACAGGATTGTTTTCAGTTCTGTTTAAATGCTAGAATGTATCTGTAAAGCCTGAATCTTCCTTCATATTAGAACTTTCAGAGGCATAGGAAAGGGAACTTAAAGAGAATATACAAAAGGAGGAAAGTTTGGAAAAGTACAGAGTGTGCAAAGAGAAAAAAAGGATATGATAAGGGGGTTGATTAGATGCAGAGATCAAGAGAAGCTGAGGTGGTGCGATTAGCAACATCCAGAAATGTGAGAGTGGATAGGTCTGTAGGAACTAAAGATGTGAGATTAGAAATGTCCAGAGGAATTGAGGAAGTGAGGGAAGAAGCGTCCCGAATGGAGAGGTTGGAGACGTCCAGAAATGGTGTAGAGATGAGGTTAGAAACATCCTCAGCAGTCGATGAGGATAACTCAGAGGAACCCTTAAATGTGAAATAGTTAAAATCTGTGAAATCTAGTGATTCTGAAGAGGTTGAGGAAATGTGCTCTGAGACATGTGTGGAGGTTGGAGGGATTTCACAGGAAACATCCAAGGAAGCTGAGGAGGTGGGACTGGAGACGTCTAGGGAGGATGAAGAAGTGAGACTGGAGAGGTCTAGAGAGGGTGAAGAAGCAGGACTGGAGAAATCTGGGGAGGCTACTGAGGTGAGACTTGAGAGATCTAAGGAGATTGAAGAACTGTCACCAGAAACATCCAGAGACCCTGATGAGGTGAGACTCAATAGGTCCAGTGAAACTGAAGAGGTGAAACTGGAGCGCTCCCAGGAATCTGAAGAGGAGACACTGGAGAGCTCTAAGGAGATTGAAGAGGTACTGGAGAAGTCGGAAGAAGCTGAAGATGTGAGACTTGAAAGGTCCAGAGAAGATGAAGTGAGGCTGGAAAAGTCCACAGAGGATGAAGAGCTCAGACTGGACAGATCCAAGGAATCTGAAAAGGGAATTTTAAAGCGTTCCAAAGAGGCTGAAGTCTTTACACTGGAGGGGTCCAGGGAGGCCAAAAGAGTGAGACCAGGTGGGTCCAGGTAGATGGCAGAGATGGAACTGAAAAGCCAAATAAATTCACAATGTGAGCAGTTTTAAATCAAAAGTATTTTTAACTGAAGATCTCCAGTAACATGTCAAAACAACTTCAAAAGATATATTGAAACCCAAATACTAGCATGTTTGAGAATAACTAAGCATACTGCTTTGGTGCAGGGAACTTTAGTAACAAGAGCTTGCAGAATTATTCAGAATATCAGTCTTTCACAGAAGACCAGTACAGAAGTACAAATACAGAAGAATAACTGTGGTAGGAGACATTTTTTCTTGGCATGTCTCTCTCTGCCCAATTAGGTTTTACCATCTATATATTTAGGTCTGAAATGAAATAATGGTTATGTAATGTAATGGAAATTAAAATGTTTTTCTCTTTTCCAGATGTCATAGCATATTCAGACAGCACGCTGCTTACTGGTTATGCAGAGAAATTAAAAAAAAAAACTGCACAGATGCACACAGCAGCTTCAAGTCAAACCTGACCTCTGGCTATAAAGGTATGATGGATTACTTCTTTCTGATTCATAAAATTTAAGTCAAAAATGTAGATCTTCCTGAAGATGCTAACCAAATGGCAAACGCATCATTATTTTTCTCCACGTGTACAGGATTTATTTTTTGGAAGCCAGCAGTGAACTAAACCAATGCTGTGACTAAAAAATACATAGTTCAGCAACATCAGTTCTTCATGGTTTTTAGGTAAAGAGAACTCTTACTTTATTACTTCTTCTACCCCCCTTGTACCTCTGGACATAAAACCTGAGCTACAATAACAACAGTATTTTTCAGTTTGTGTTTAGTTTGAATTGATTAATAAAACTAAAGAGAAGTTCTGATAGAAGGCAGATGAATTAAAAAGGAAACAACAGTTTATATTTCAGTTTATAAAGGTACATTAATTACTGTATGCATAGATAGATACTGATCTACAGCTGCCTTCTCTCTTCTCAAGACTGTGCTGCAAAGCAGAGTAGGTGAATCCTGCCATTGTCTTTCTAGGCATAGGCACAGGATTACACAAAAAGTTCTTCAGAGATTAATCACAGAAGTATTTTATAGACCAAGAAAGTGAAAGATACACATGACAGGAGGCTGCATTTTCTCAGGTGAATATACCCAAGCTTTGCTCGTGTTATTATGCAACTGATGTCCAGATGCATGTATAATGGATTTAACATAATCACCATGGTGAAACTCCCACTGAGGTCACCTCTTAACTGAAGCAGGTGTCTGCTGAACAAACTGAAGCTAACAGAAACAGACAGCTGACAGAAATAATGTTTTACTATGCAAATATTAAAACTGGAGGGGTTTAGCACAACACAAAAATTACCAGATTAAAAAAAGCTATTTACATGTCAACGATGAGACCTGAAATAGTTCTTGAATACACTTTGAATTCACAATGTATCTGTAACTTTAGAGCTCAAGCACTATGCTTGTAACTCTAAGAGTACCATATGTGTAGATGAAAAGGCAAAGCAAACGACACTTTCTTAACATGCACGTTTGTGATGAGATTACAGGTTTGCTTGCTGTCCTGTATTCATAATAAAGCAATAAAAATAATTAACTCCTTAAAAAAAATCCCTCACTATTTAATAACTGTATGATTTTGTGAATGACTTTATCTTTGATCTTAAAAGTTTTTGAAGTGCATTGTACAGGGAAGAACAGAATTATACTTAAGGCAAATTGCAATACAATGAAAAGCCAGTATCAACATG